GACCCTATGCACAACAGCCCTAAACCCTGCTCTATCCTGCGCCAACCGCACTGCCTCTGACACACCCATCCCGATTACCCCAGTCACCAAATCAATCCATCTCATAAAGATCACTAATTTTTTGTTTTCTTCATGAGTGAAGTCCTTGATGTCATCCTGGAATTTTTATATCACTACAGCCTTATTTTCAACCTACCTAATTCTTGGTTAAACCATGTAGTACTCTCCTGCTCCGTTTATACAACAGCCTCCTGGTCCAGGTTTATGTTCCTCATGAGCACAATCAAGTGCTCTGAGATTCCCATTCTTCTCAGTGTCTGCCAAAACTTGTCATGATCCACACAAATGCCTTCATGTAATAAATAAATCACACAAAGGCATTCTTCTGATATATCTTACTTTTAGCCAGAATGGAGCAGGGGAGCACTGTATGGTTTGGAATTGAGAAGGGAGTGTGTCAGCATTTTATTCTCTTTCCATACTTACTCAATCTGTATGCTGAGCAAATTATCCAAGAAGCTGGACTCTATGAGGAGGAATGTGGCTTCAGGATTGGAGGGAGACTCATCAATAACCTGTGTTATGTGGATGATATAACCTTGCTTGCTGAAATTGAGAACTTGAAGCACTTGTTGCAGAAGATCAAAGAATGCTGTCTGCAATTTAGATTGCATCTCAGTGTCAGGAAAACAAAGAATCTTACCACTGGACCGATAGGCAGTGTCATGATGGATGGAGAGGAGATTGAAACTGTCAACAGCTTCATCTTGCTTGGATCCACAATTAACACCCTCAGGAAATAAGGAGTTGCATTTGCACTGGGAAAATATGTAGTTAGGAACCTTTCAAAAGTATTGAGTAGTGATTTCAGGTTGAAAACTAAGGTGCATCTGATTCAGGCCATAGTCTTTACAATTACTTGCTATGTATCTGAGAGCTGGACAATAAATGAGGATGACAGAAAAAAACCCACAACAACATGAAGCCTTTGAGCTGTGGTGTTGGAGACGATCACTGCACATCCCATGGATGGCCAAGAGAACAAACAGCCAAGTCTTGGTGAGGGTGCAGCCAGAGTGCTCTTTGGAGGTAAGAAAGATTGAGCTTTGCCTCACATACCGTATACATGTTTCTAGGAGGTGCTATTCCTTGGAGAAGGACATGATGCTGAGAAGGGTGGAGGGTCAGTGAAGGAGAGGAAGACCCTCAACCAGGTGAATTGACACGGTGACTGCTGCAATGGGCTCTTGTGTGTCAGGAAGTGTGAGGATGGCTCCAGATAGAACTGGGTTCAGATCTTTTGTTCATAGGGTTGCTATGAGTCATATTTGACTCAATGGCACCTAACAACAACAAAAACAACAATTTCTTGAAAGTTATTTCTTCTTTGTGTCTAACATTTGCATTCCAGTCACCATTTATTACTAACGCATATCCATTGCATATTTAATCAGTTTTCCACTACAGAAGTTCATAGAAGTCCTCAATTTCTTCCTCATTGGCTTTAGTAGTTGGTTTTGTTTATTACAATAATAGAGGCAGTAACAAGTCTTCTTTTTATGGATATGAATAATATCCTCTATCTTCTAGCATTGTATTTCAGGATAGATCTCGAAATGTTCTTTTTTGATAGTAAATGTAGATACTATTTTTTTTCAATTTGTTGTTCCTGGCCTAGTAGAAGATGTGATTTTTTTTTTTGAGTCACAATGGCCAACACCAGTTTTGTCAGCTGACTAATGCCTTGGATGTCAATCTTTAGGTTTCCATTAATTTTTAACAACTTCTAAATTTCCTAGATTCATACTTCATACATTTTATGATCCAATTTTTATGGATGTTTGTAGCTTTTAATCTTCATTTCTAGTCTTGCTATGTCATCAAGTGAAGGTCCTTCACAGAGTTAAAGCTCATCTCCATCCATGTTATTAAGGTATATGGCAGACCTGCTTTTGAGGAGGCAGCGCTTCCCTAGTCCCATTTTGAGTGCTTTCCAACCTGTTTGACTCATCTTCCAGCACCATGCCAGATAATCCTTCCGTGTTATTTATGGATTCTTAAGGTCTCATTATTTTAGAGTGGGATGGCTAGTCCTGCTTCTTAGTATTTCTTAGCCTGGAGGCTCCACCGAAACCTGCCACTATGAATAACTCTACTGGCTGTTTTTAAATACCAATTGAAACACCAGTGTCATGTTGTTGTTTGCCATTGAGTTGCCTGCGACTTTTAGTGACTCTATGTACAACAGCCCTAAACCCTGCTCTATGCTGTGCCAATCTCTGTGTCTCTGACACACCTAACCCAATTACCCAGTCACTGAATCAGTCCACCTCATAGAAGGTCTTCCTCTCCTGTGCTGTTCCTTCACCCTCCCAAGCATGTTGTCCCTCTGCAACCAATGGTTCCTCCTTGCAACATGTCCAAACTATGTCAAAGTTTCCGTATCCTTGCCTCCAAGGAGCAGCATGGTTTAACCCTCTCTAGGCTGAACCTGTTCATTTTCTTAGCAGTTTGTGGTATATTCAATACTCTTCTCCAAAACCACAGCTCAAAGGCATAAATTCCCTTTCTATCATCCCTAGTCATTGTCCATCTCTCTGACGCATAGCAAGTGATTGCAAAGATAATGGCCTGTATCAGGCACACCTTAGTCTCCAGAGTGACATCATTGCACTTCAGTACTTTGGAGAGGTCTCCAACAGCAAACTTTCCCATCACAATACATCTTTTAATTTCTTGGCTTCTGGTACCAAGCGTGTTGACTGTGAAGCCAAGCAAACTAAAGCTGTTAACAGTCTCAATCTTTTCACTATCCATCATGATGTTGCCAGTTGACCCAGTGGTGAGAATCTTGGTTTTCTTGATATTGAGCCTCAATCCATACTGAAGGCTGCAGTCTTTTCAGGTCTTCCTCAGCTTCAGCAAGCGGGGTTGTGTCATCTGCATATGCAGATTGCTGATGAATCTTCCTCCAGTCTGAGCTTTCAGAATCACAGAAATTTGAATGTTAACCACAGTGTGCTGTTTGTTTGGTTTTTAATAAATTTTTATTTTATACTTGCTGCTTACAAAGTTTATATATATAATTTTCCACACTGGATCTCTCCCATTTTCTTTACTTAACCACTCCCTCTAGCTATCAAATTATATGACCCTGTGGTTAATCCCCTGCCCCTCCTCTCCCCTTTGCTCCTGCCCACCCACCTTGGATTCTCATAACTGTTTTACCAGCTATCTTTCTATTTCTACACTATTCTACACTTATACACTATTTATCCTTATGGAGGTTAGTTAATTCACTTACCATAATGTGCTCCAGTCCCTCTTGAAATATGTAATTATGTAATTTTTGACATCATTGCTCATGCACGTTATATAATATTCCATTATGTGAATGTACCACAATTTCTCAATCCAGGCTATTGTGGTTAGACATTTGCGCTGTTTCCATGTTCTTTCAATGGTGAATAACACTGCTATGAACATTGGGGTACAAATCTTCATTTTTGTCTCATTTCTAATTTTCTCGCGGTATATTCAAGCAGTGGAATAGCTGGGTCATATGGAATTTCTATGTTCAGCCTTTTGAGAAAACACCAACTGTCTTCCAGAGTGAAAGTTAACTGCAGTATGTTAAATTGACAGGTTAACCATGAGCAGAATCAACTAACACATACTAAGATAAGTCAAGGGAAAAGAATATACATATCCTGTTCTTACTTGCTTGTGTGGAAGCTAACTAACACCTTGCTTGATCACTACTGGCTTACAGAAGAAATAAAAAAACTTCTTTGAAACAGATGAGTATGAAAATACATCCTCTCAAAACCTTTGGGATACAGCAAAAGCAGTTGTTAGAGATTAGTGCATAGTAATAAGCAAACACATTGAAGTAGAGAGATATAACAAATTGCTTAACTAAACATCTCCAACAAATAAGAACAATGAGCTAATGTCACAATGTCTAGAATAAAAAAAATTACAAATAAGGGGCTGAAATAAATTGAAGAGAGGACAGAAAAACAATTGAAACAATCAAAAAGACCAGGAACTGGGTCTTTGAAAGGATATAGTAAATGGACAAACCGTTGGCAAACTTAACAAAAGCCAAAAGAGAAATAAAATGAGTAAGAAATGAGATATTATCGCAGTACAACCATCTGAAATGAAAATGGTAATAGTTGTTGTTAAGGATCATAGACTTGGAACTAACCCATAGCTGACCCTGGACCCTTAAAAGGACAAGAACAAGTGAGGATCAACCTGAGAATGATTGACAGAGGACAATGCAACTATTAGATTTATCAAGTAACAACAGGATATATGTAACTGTTCAAAAGGGCACTGTTCAAAAGGAGAGCAGTAAAACTGAGGAGAAAATAGGGGAGGTGTAAAAAAATCACTGAGACAACAAAGATTTGTGGGATGACAGAGGGTAAAGGAATATGTAAGGTGCAGAGGGAATTTGGTGAGATGGGGTCATAAAAGGTATGGGTCAATAATTATTATGTAAAACAATGTATATGAGTGAGTGTGTTAAACACAATTTATGTGAATGATATATGATATATGCGAATAATTATATACAAGCCAATAATTTAAAAAAGAAAAACAAAAATCCTTCCAATTTATATAGTCGCAGAACATTTAACTTGCATATAGAAAGCCTTGCAAAAAAAAAAAAAAACCAAAACAAAAAAGAAAACCTTGAATATCTAGTAATGTGTTTACTTTTATTTTTAATTATGTTCTTCTGTTTAGGTGGATAACAATTTGGAATGTAGCAAATATTTTCACCCTATCAATTCATATGCAGATTAATAATAATTTAGTGGGAAAATATTTTATTTCTGTTTCAGAGTGCTGCTGGTACACTAGAATTTCAACCAGGAGAAAGATTTAAGTACGTTTCTGTAAATATCACAGATAATTCTATCCCAGAACTGGAAAAATCTTTTAAAGTTGAGTTACTAAACTCAGAGGGAGGAGGTAAGATTGATAATTCACATTTTGAAATATTTGTTTTCCCACTGGCTGTAATGACAATAAATCCTATTGGAGAAATATGTTCCTTACATTACCCTTTTCCTTCTCTGCCCTTTTTCAAATGATTGAATGACTAATTTTTGGAGAAATTAGCTTGAGGATTAATAATTTTATTAGAATTATATTGAAAACTTTATAATTGATGGTCCTCTTATTGGTAAAAATAATGTCTCCTACAAAGCTTCTTAGTAATAGTTTTATACAGTAATATTTATAAGTTTATTTTGCTGTGAGGTTTGGTTAATTCTGAATTCGTTTCTCTATTTTTATGACATGATTTTCCCCCTGTTTTATTTCTTATTTATTTATCTCTTTAAAAAGTAGATATAATTATAGAAAAAGTTATTAGAATCAATGAAATAGAGGAAGACCCTCAAAGAGCTGGATTGACCATGACTGCAGCAATGGGCTCAAGTGGGTCAGAGATGATGAGGATGGTAGAGAAGGGGACAGGGTTAAGGTCTGTTTGTAGGGTTGTTGTGATTCATACCTGACTCAATGACGTCTAAAAACAGCAGGCCTAGTGGTTAGAAACTGTGCTGCAGTCACCAAGGCATGCAGTTCAATCCACCGGCTGCTCTACTGAAGTATGCGCAGTCTCTTCTGGTGCAATTTACTGCCTCTGAAAACCTACTGGAGTTTCAACCCTGGGCTATTTCTGAATTGATGAAAATAACAAACAAAACCAAACATATGTATGTGTGGGTGTGTGTGTATATTGAATTCTTATATAATTATATGTATATATATATATGTATATGTGTGTGTGTGTGTGTGTGTATATATATATATATATAATATCATATGTATTTCTTTGTTCTTGATCCTGAAAGGGGTGTGTGTGTGTGTGTATGGAGAGAGAGAGAGAGAGAGACAGAGAGACTCACAAAGACAGTTAGACACAGATACACAGACACACACAGAGCTGTGTGGTGGCCTCTTGGTAAGGTACTGTGTTGTGCCAGCATTGTCAACCCAAAAGCATGGAGTTTGAATACACCAACTGCTCTATGGGAGAAAGATGAGCAGTCTCCTCTTGTAATATTAAATGTCTTTGAAAAACCACTGGAGGGTCAGCTGTGGGTTGGCTTGAGGACCATGGGGCATATGCTATGCATTATGTTTGCCAAAGAACATTGGTAGCATAATAATGAGGCTCATGTGAGGGAATGGCACCTTAACTCTACTCATTCCGCAAAGGGGGGAAAAAGGTCCTTGTCAAAATATCAGCAGCACAAAGCTGACTCCTTTAACATCAGATGACGAGAGCCCTGTGGGCCGAGTGATAAGAAGCTGTGCTGCAATCCCTTTAACATCAGATGTTCCTCTCTCATCTCATACTGTTGATTTAAATGCCAACTATCCCTCCAAAAGCTCTAAGTATGTGTCTGCTATTGTTTGCTAATTTGTTTCATTGACCGTTCAGAACTCACAGACAGTATTCTGAGTATGAGGTTAATTAGGAAACCAAAATATTATAATTCAGACTGGAAACACTCAGGATTTAAGTCTACAGTCAGGACAGCTTTTTCACAGGTGAGTTCACAGGCAGGCCTCATTTTGACTTTAGCCTGTGCTCGGGGCCCTGCCTCAGAGCTCTGGGCAGATGTTAAGACGTTATAATTTAAGTTCTGCCAATTATGGCTTCACCCTGCTCCATTAGTAAATAGGGCAAAGTCCTCACCTCTGTGAAGTAGGAGTTGTAGTTAGACTGTCTACTCTCAGACTCCGATTGTCTGCTGGTATCACTGTCACCTTTCAGTGTATTTGATTATATTGAACAAGAGCCATGGGCCTAAAGTACATTGTAGTTTCTGCTGTTTCTTTCTTGGTGGTAGATAGACTAATGCTTTTTGCTTCTGGACTTGCTCAGTGTAAGCCTGTCAAGATGACAAAACTGTCCAATCCTCTAATTAAGACCAACAAATTAAGATAACATTGATAAGAATAGACTTCCCCTAACACTCAGTTGTCCTTATGGGCAACTTATACTTCACTGAAGAAGCTATTTTCAGAAGAGACCGAGGGAATACTGCATGGCTTAATATCAAGAATGATGTATATCACAACTCTGTCTTCCCACCTTACCTGTTCAATTCAAATGCTGAACAAATCACTCAGGAAGTTGGACTTTATGAAGAAGAATGTGACATCAGGATGGGAAGAAGACTCATCAACAACCTGCTTTATGTAGATGATACAAGAAGTAAGTCTGGCTTGTTTCAGAAGGTCAAAGACTTTAACTTTCCAAATGGATTGCCTCTCAGCATCAAGAAAACAAAATTCTTCACCACTTGACCAATAGACTACATCATGAGAGATGGAGAAAAGTTTGAAATTGTCAACAATTTCATCTTTCTTGGATCCACAATCAACAAGGTCCTTAGTACCAGCAGACAGGAGACCAAATGACATGTTGAATTGGGAAAACCTTCAGTCAATGACTACTCACTCCAAAGTGCTGAAGAACAATAGTGTCCATATAAGGACTACGGTGCACCTGATCTAAGCCATGGCATTTTCAGTTACTTGTTATGCATCTGAAAGTTGGACTGTGAATACAGACGACAGAAAAAGACTTGATGTCCTTGAGTTGTGGTGTTAGAAAAGAGTATTGAATATTCGTTCCATGGGCTGCCAAAAGAATAAACACATTTGTCTTAGAGAAAGCACAACTGAGGTATTCCTGAGAGTTAAGGATGGTGAAACTTTATTTCACATATTTTGAACAAACATGTTGTCAGGAAGGATCATTTCTCAGAAAAAGACATCATGCTAGGAAAAGTAGGGAGTCTTGGATAGCAGCTTTTCTAGATGCTTGTGGGCTCTCTGGGGAGAAATGTGGCATCAGGATTAAAGGAAGACTCATTAACAATCTGCGTTATGCAGATGACACAACCCTGCTTGCTGAGACTGAGGAGGACCTAAAGTGCTTGCTGCAGAACGTCAAGGACTGCAGCCTTGAATATGGATTAAAGTTCAACATCAAGAAAACAAAGATCCTCATCACTGGGCCAATTCGCAGCATCAAGATGGACGATGAAGAGATTGAGATTGTTATGCTTTAGTTATGCTTGGCTCCATAGTCAACACTTTTGGTATCAACAGCCAGGAAATGAAATGATGTATTACATTGAGGAAGTCTGCTGATACCTCTCCAAAGTGCTGAAGAGCAATATTGTCAGTGTGGAGAATAAGGTGGGCTTGATTCCGGCCATAGTCTTTGCAGTTACTTGCTATGCATCAGAAAGCTGCACAATGACTAGGGATGACAGAAGGAGAATTGATGCCTTTGAGCTGTGGTACTGGAGAAAAGTGTTGAATATATCATGGACTGCTAGAAGAACAAACAAGTTCGTCCTAGAGAGAGTGAGACCGGGCTGTTCCTTGGAGGCAAGGATTCTGAAGATTTGTCTGGACATGTTGCAAGGCAGGACCAGTTCTTGGAGAAGGACATCATGCTTGGGAGGTTAGAGGGACAGCGCAGAAGAGGAAGACCCTCAATTAGATGGATTGATTCAGTGACTGGAATAATGGGGTTAAGTGTGTCCGAGATAATAAGATTTACACAGGATAGAGCAGGGTTTAGGGCTGTTGTACATAGGGTTGCTATGAGTCGTAAACGACTTGATGGCACTTAACAACAACAGCAACAACAATTTGTTTTTTACTTCCTGACTTCTGGTGGATCTAAGTAAGATGAAATCATTAACAATTGCAACCTTTTCTCCATCTATCATGATTCTGCCTTTTGGCCAGTGGTTTTGGTGTTTTAGTTTTTTTTTCTTCTTAGTGGTTAGAAGCTGAGCTGCAATCCTAAAGGCACATGGTTTGAACCCATGAGCTGCTCCAGACAGAAGGATGTACATTTTTCCTCCTGTGCAGTTTCCTCTGTCTGCAAACCAGTTGGAGGCTTAGCTAAGAGTCCGTTCCAACTTAACAGAACACACAGCAACAACGTATGAACTATGTGACTAGAAACTGCTAAATTCTATTAAGTCAGAACTGACTGATTGCTTACCTTTCTTTTGATTCCCAAGGCAATAGACCAAATGAGAAGAGACTGCATGTCTTTCTCCCATTGAACTACTTGTAGATTTGAACCAGAGAAGTTGGCAGCATAAATCTGGACTATGCGGTATACATTATTGAACCCATCTTTCTCAGTCTCTCCCCAACCCCAAGGTCAATGCTGTTTTACAACAGTGGCACCATGCAGTATTTGTCCTTTTGTGACTGAGATACTTCACTCAGCATAATGTCCTCCAGAGTCACTCATTTTGAATAATATT